TGGTCTCGTTTGGTAAATGTAATAAGAAAAGGTGTATATCTTTATGATTATACGGTCTCGTTTGGTAAATGTAATGAAACACAATGACCACCAAAAGAACCATTTTACAGTATATACTGAATGAATAACGATATTTCAGATGAAGATTATAAACATGCATAAAATGTTTGGAGAGAGTTTAATATATTAAACATTGGAAATATTCTGATATTTATATAAAGACTGATTTTTTTTATATTAACTGATATTTTTGAGAACTTTAGAGATGTTTGTTTAAAACATATAAATCAGCATCTGGCTTTTCATGGGATGCAATATTAAAAATAGCTGATGTTAAGCTAGAAATATTGACTGAATATGATATGATCTTAATGCTTGAGAAAGGTATTCGAGGATATATATGCCAGTGTAGTAATAGATAAAGCAAAGCAAATAATAAATACATGAAAGATTACGATCTTAGTAAAGAATCTATTTATTCAGCTTATTTTCATGTTACTAACCTATATGGATGGGCAATGAGTCAATATTTACCCTATGGATGACTTAAATGGAATAATACAAATATTGGTGTAATGAAAGTAAGTGATGATTCTGAAACACGTTATATTTTAGACATAGATTCAGAATATCTACATGACTATCGTTCAGATATACCCCGAGCAGCATAAAACAGAATAGCGAACAAAGAAATTGTCTGTTTGCAATTAAGCACAAAGCTACATAATTGGCTAACTGTGCTCTGCCCACCACGGGTAGCGAAACCCGGATTCTAGCGTTGTAAGTCCGCAGTCATACTGCTGTGCCACTGGGGGCACCAAAGAAGTGACAACTTTATATGATAAGGATAAGTACATGCTTCACTATAGAAAACTAAAAGAATATTTATCGTTAAGAATGAAACTAAAGAAAATTCATAGAGCGTTGAAGTTCAAGCAATCTTATTGGCTTAATAAATTTATTGATCTGAATGGTTTAGAAAAAGATTTTTATATGTTTGTAAAAACTATAGAAACTTTTAGACAACGAGTTGACATACAATTGGGTTCTAATCCAAGCAAAATTGGAAACTAATAGCTATAAGAAACTTTAAGAGGAGAACAATAGTTACAGAAACGTTAAAAAACGTCATATGAATAAAACAATATGAATATAAAATCAGTCGCTTTACGTTTTTATGAGCATTCTAGATCTTTCGAATACATTGATGTATGATTTCCTCTATGGATTGATGAAAACGAAGTGTAGTAATGGCTTAGAATTATTATACCAACATACTGATTCTTATACTCGTGAAATAAACATCTATAAAGACAAAAAAAACACTACTTTATTTGACACTTCAAATTATCAAATAGACACTTCTTATGGTGTTCTGTTAGCAAACAAAAACGTTTGGGGTAAAATAAAGATGGGAATAATGGAAAAATAATGTCTGAATTTGTAGGGCTTGGATCTGAAGTGTATGCTTTAAAAATACAAGATGATAAATCTGTAAGAAGTTTAAAGGTGTAAAGAAATGTGTTGTTAAAAATAGAAATGTATTTGAGGAATATACGGAATGTTTATTTCGGCAGAGATAAATATATAAAACTGTGAATGTAATAAAAATAAATATATAAAACTGTGAATGTAATAAAAATAAATATATAAAACTGTGAATGTAATAAAAATAAATATCTAAAACTGTGAATATAATAAAAATAAATATCTAAAACTGTGAATGTAATAAAAATAAATATATAAAACTGTGAAATGTAATAAAAATAAATATCTACAACTGTGAATCTAATAAAAATTAATATCTAAAACTATGAATGTAATAAAAATAAATATATAAAACTGTGAATGTAATAAAAATTTATATATATAAAACTGTAAATGTAATAAAAATAAAAATATAAAACTGTAAATGTAATAAAAATAAATATCTAAAACTGTGAAGTGTAATAAAAATAAATATATAAAACTGTGAATGTAATAAAAATAAATATATAAAACTGTGAATGTAATAAAAATAAATATATAAAACTGTGAATGTAATAAAAAGTAAAAAGCCCAAACTATATTCCATACAATTTAACAAGAAAATATTAAGCTCGAATGATCATAAAAATATATATATATTTAACAGAAGGTATCAAACTTTAGCTTGTGGTAGCAGTCTGTCGTAAAACCCCTGTTTCAGAGGGTAATAGTGAATGATCAGACATAATAAATGGAAGCAGTAAAAAAGTTAATGCTGTTGGAACTAAACCCAGGAGACAAATACTCTATTAGTTAATGAAAAATATTTAAAACTCGTGAAGGAATTGTAGTTGTATTCATGAATAGCAACTGTAGCTAATCCCAAATATATTAAACTAAAAGATTGAATAAAAGGTTAACTGAAGAAGATAATAAGGAAATGAATGAAATAAACAATCTTACCCTTGTTTATAAAGGAATGGAAGATAGTGGAAATGACAAGAAGAGTTATCTCATTGAATATGGTGGGTTTTTAAAGATTTTCATATTTTGATTATCTTTGATCGTTTTTGTTATTTCTAATTATTTTTGGCTATTTTGGGTGTTTTAGAGTTATTTTGTTGTATTTTTTAAAATGTTGCATTTTTAAAATGTGTTGACATCTAAGTAGAGCAGAAATCCCTTAACTCATACTACTTACATACACACATTGTTTATACGAATACATAAATAGATACACACATTGTTAGTGTGAATACATAAGTACATACACACATTGTTAATAGGAATACATAAATAGATACACACATTGTTAGTGTGAATACATAAGTACATACACACATTGTTAATAGGAATACATAGATAGATACACACACATTGTTAGTGTGAATACATAAGTATATAAACACATTGTTAATAGGAATACATAAATAGATACACACATTGTTAGTGTGAATACATAATATATACACACATTGTTAATAGGAATACATAAATAGATATACACATTGTTAGTGTGAATACATGAGTACACACACATTGTTAGTATGAATATATAAGAACATAAACACATTGTTACTATGAATATATAAGTACATAAACACATTGTTAGTATGAATATATAAGTACATAAACACATTGTTAGTATGAATATATAAGTACATAAACACATTGTTAGTATGAATATATAAGAACATACACAGATTGTTGGTATGAATATATAAGTACATAAACACATTGTTACTATGAATATATAAGTACATAAACACATTGTTACTATGAAAATTACATACACCCATTGGCAGCATAAATACATGAGGGGATAAGTTTGTACTTAGTTTATGATTGAGAAGGTTTATTTCCTTGAGAGAATTCTTTAATAGTGTAGATATATATCTTCACTGGTTTCATAGTGTTATACAACATCATTATCATACAGTAGAGATAGATCTTCACTGGTTTCAGAGTGTTGTACATCATAATTATCATACAGTAGAGGTAGATCTTCATTGGTTTCAGAGAGCTATACAACGTCATTATCATACAGTAGAGGTAGATCTTCACTGGTTTCAGAGTGTTATACAACATCATTAGCATACAGTACAGGTAGATCTTCACTGGTTTCAGAGTGTTATACAACATCATTATCATGCAGTAGAGGTAGATCTTCACTGTTTTCCGAGTGTTATACAACATCATTATCATGCAGTAGAGATAGGTCTTCACTGGTTTCAGAATGTTATACAACATCATTATCATACAGTACAGGTAGATCTTCACTGTTTTCCGAGTGTTATACAACATCATTATCATGCAGTAAGGATAGGTCTTCACTGGTTTCAGAGTGTTATACAACATCATTATTATGCAGTAGAGATAGGTCTTCACTGGTTTCCGAGTGTTATACAACATCATTATCATACAGTAGAGATAGGTCTTCACTGGTTTCAGAGTGTTATACAACATCATTAGGATGCAGGTGATGAAGTTCATTGTGCAGCAGTCTCAGGATGTCAGTATACAAAATCCTATAAGTGCGACTATAATACTACTGATGATTGCATGTTAACCCTTTTCTGTATCTTGGTGATTTCCTAATTTCCTTATGCTTGTATATGTCTGGTCTACAAGAGGTATCCACATATGTATAACTATCGTATTCTGGTACAAAAGCCACTTCTATAATACTAAAACAACCAACCATGTTTGGCATCTATTCTATTAACTCTATGAATTTTTACATTCACTTCTTGACATATTTCCATCAATGCAGAAGTTTATAATTTAACGATTTTTATATGTTTTTTTATACACAATGTACTATCTGTACTGTGCCCTCTACATGTATCGAAAACAGGTTTTTAGCTTATAAGCCTTCAGACATGCCATTCAGCCATTAGGGGTGGAGTGGGGTGAGGTGGAGGGTTAAATATTTTTGTATGCATTTAAATCGAACTAATTTTCAACCTTAGAAAAATAAAACTGATTCTATCTTTTTTTTCTGATTCTTCCATCACAGTACCATTACAGTCCCAATTGAGTGGTGATCATTTGTGGAAAAGCAGTTCGCGAACGTTATTATTTACTTTAGATTTTTCTGGCCTCAAAAGGAACAGCAGAAGGAGCATGAACGTGGATTCTGCTACGTTAAGCATCTACATGGCTCGTAGAGGGTTTCATGATGAAGGAAATGAACGCTTTGACGTGGTGAGTGGGCAGCCAGAACGTGCAACTGTGTACATCTATCTACTTGAGGGATCAGATCAAGTAGAGAATCCTGAGCGTTCTTTAGTTTCAGCCCAGAGTGTGGTACTGAACTCCAACAGATGGGAAGTGTTCAATGTAACGAAAGCTGTCAAAACCTGGGTAGCGGCTCCCACTCAAAACTATGGGCTCCTTATCGAGTGCGACACCCCCGACTTTACATTTCTCTCTGTTAATAAATCCGACACCTTATTAAGTGATCATCAGAGACCGGGAAACGTTTTCTATCAGGAGCCTGGGAGAGCAACTTTGGACATCCAAGTATCAATACGAACGACACGAGCGAAACGATCGATACACAAACAAAGAAGACAACGGAGAAAGTATCCACTGGATTGCACAACTGGACAGAAGACGAAACTTTGCTGTCGTTACTCTATGACGATTTCCTTCGAAGAGTTAAAGTGGCATTGGATCATTCAGCCGAAACAGTTTGAAGCATATTTCTGCAAGGGAAAGTGTAATCAAAACTATAAATATTATGTTAGTAGACATGCGAGAATTCAAAACCTGATGCGGAGAAAAAAGGATAAACGAAAAGAAATACCGCGTCCTTGCTGTACCCCCCAAAAAATGGAACCTCTACAAGTTGTGTATTTTAAGAACAAGAGTGAAGTGGATACAAAGAAGCTAAGGGGGATGATAGTCTCGCAGTGTGGTTGTGCGTAGTATCGGATTTAAACTAGGGATTCGATTAAGTCTTTTATTAATTGTTTTCTTAACAATAATCCAAAGAGTGCAGATAGCCATTAAACAGCATCTGCCTTCATTCAAGCTGAAAATAATGTGTTCTTCTAAACAATAAGCAGAAGCTTCCACGTAATGTTTGTACACAATACGATGAAGAGCCACGATTATGCTAAAAGTTAGGCCTTTATGCAAGTACTGGTGAGATTACTTATTCATTTGAATAAATATCTAGGCATAAATATAAAACAAATGAGATTCTTTTCCAGAGAATTGATTCAATTATAAAACAGGATGTTTCTATAGAATTTAATGATGAAAGTACGCAAATCTTGTGTTTTTGTTTCTAAATTTATACCTAAACGTTGATAGTCAAATCGAAGGTATTTCAAAACATTTATTTGATGATAATTTACGCGTGTAATGATTGTTTTCATCAGTTAATAACTAATACTATTAACCCAAATAACCGAAAGATATTTCTATAGTATTAATATAATAATAGAACAGAAAGTAGAAATTTAGATTTATTGAAAGTAACTTATTTTTGAGAGCAACGGCACCCACACGACACCAGAGAGGACATTTTTCTTTGATTTTCCTGAATTGACTCAGATAAGTGAATGAGTGAAAAACAGCAGAATATGGATTTTGTAAAGACGTTGTTGAACTACAACAAATAAAAACATTTCATTGTTTATGTAGATAGTACTAAAACAACTATTTCAACCAATAAGGACATTTCATTGTTTATGTAGCTAGTACTAAAACAGCTATTTCAACCAATAAGGACATTTCATTATTTATGTAGCTAGTACTAAAACAACTATTTCAACCAATAAGGACATTTCATTGTTTATGTAGCTAGTACTAAAACAGCTATTTCAACCAATAAGGACATTTCATTGTTTATGTAGCTAGTACTAAAACAACTATTTCAACCAATAAGGACATTTCATTGTTTATGTAGCTACTACTAAAACACCTATTTCAACCAATAAGGACATTTCATTGTTTATGTAGCTACTACTAAAACAACTATTTCAACCAACAAGGGCATTTCATTGTTTATGTAGCTAGTACTAAAACAGCTATTTCAACCAACAAGGACATTTCATTGCTAATGTAGCTAGTACTAAAACAACTATTTCAATCAACAAGGGCATTTCATTGTTTATGTAGCTAGTACTAAAACAGCTATTTCAAGCAACAAGGACATTTCATTGTTTCTGTAACTTGTCTAAAAATAGCTGTTTTAAACAACAAGGACATTTCATTGTTTATTTAACTAGTACTAAAAGAACTATTTCATTCAACAAGGGTATTGCATGGTTTATTAACTTGTCTGAAAACAACTATTTCAAAGTTAATAAACCATGCAATACCCTTGTTGGATGAAATAGTTGTTTTCAGACAAGTTAATAAACCATGCAATACCCTTGTTGAAGTCTGAAAACAACTATTTCAACCAATAAGGATATTTCATTGTTTATGTAACTTTTCTGAAACTACTGTTTTAACCAACTAGGATATTTCACTGTTTATGTAACTTGTCTGAAAACTACTGTTTCAATCAACCAGGATATTTCATTGTTTATGTAACTTTTCTGAAACTACTGTTTTAATCAACTAGGATATTTCACTGTTTATGTAACTTGTCTGAAAACTACTGTTTCAATCAACCAGGATATTTCATTGTTTATGTAACTTTTCTGAAAACAACTGTTTTAATCAACTAGGATATTTCATTGTTTATGCAACTTGTCTGAAAACAACTGTTTCAACTAACAAGTGGATTTTATTGTTTATGTAGCTAGTACTAAAACAACTTTCTCAAATAACAAAGACACATCACTGTTTATGTAACTTGTCTAATAACAGTTGTTTCAATCAATAAGGATATTTCTTTTTTTTATGTAATTAGTACAAAAATAACTGTTTCAACCAAGAAGGACATTTCATTATTTATTTAACTAGTGCTAAAGCAACTATTTCAACCAACCAAGATATTTCATTTCTTACGTGACTTGTCTGAAAACACTTGTTTTACCCAACAATATACGTTTTCGAATGTCGAAATTAAGAGGGAATAAATATCAATTTAGTACAGAAGAAAAAACATTTGATTCTGTTTTATTTTCCTTTTGTAGGTTTTACAAATCTTAAAGAAGGAAAAAAACAAATTTTGTCGCTGATTTTTTTAGTTCTCTGTTGAAACAATTGGTGCCAAATTTAAGAGTACTATAAAAGGAGAAAGTAAGGATATAATTCACACATCATTTCCGTATAATGGTTAAAGAAAGTGTTAAAACAATTGGTGCCAAATTTAAGAGTACTATAAAAGGAGAAAGTAAGGATATAATTCACACATCATTTCCGTATAATGGTTAAAGAAAGTGTTAAAACAATTGGTGCCAAATTTAAGAGTACTATAAAAGGAGAAAGTAAGGATATAATTCACACATCATTTCCGTATAATGGTTAAAGAAAGTGTTAAAACAATTGATGCCAAATTTAAGAGTACTATAAGAGGAGAAAGTAAGGATATAATTCACACATCATTTCCGTATAATGGTTAAAGAATGTGAATAATCATTAATATATTATACACAAGTGACACGCCTGGATGAACTTAGTTACCTAAGTTATCAAATTTATTACAATATTATCTATAAGTGTAAGACACTGAAGATCTTGAATAGAGCCTCTTTCTAAGGCCAGAAGAAATGAATACGAACTTGTTCTTAGACATTATATAAACTGAGATACTAACAAAAAAAAGAGCCAAGGTATTATCTGTATATTGCTTATGCTCCTACATGGTAAGCAACAAACAATAGACATTTCAGCTTGATAAATCTCGAAATTAAACAGCAACATTCAGTTACGACTTTTAAAAGAGGCAATGGAACTTTCCAAATCTTTTACTTAGAAAGCAACATTCAGTTACAGCGAACTTGAAAAAAAAAAAAGATTTAAAGTAAAAAATTTTTTTTTAAATAGTAAGTAGTGTTACAACTGGAAGCTATTTAGTTGGAGCCATTTTTTAAACGTTGTTGTAGTTGGACGTATGATAACTCCAATTATGTTTACTATCACGAAGTTGCAGTCACTAAATACATTGATCTTACATAACATAACACCAAACATTTGCTTAATTCTTGCAAATCTCCAAATCCCTCATTCCTTCATGGTTTTATTTAATATGAGGAGGTAAATCACCTATTTATATGAGAAAATATGTAAAGCCATTCAAATATGCTACTGAAAAAAAAACAGTTCTTTGGAGTTCATTACAAATTCGTTTCCGCAGCAAAGGCAAGAAACGCAACAATAAAACTATTTTTGAACTTTCAGTCTGTCCGTTTCAATAATCTTAGACACATATCAGTTGTTTCTTCTATCAGATTAGATGTCAAACACATGAAATTACACCAATCAGTATAGTTATGGAGGTACCCAAGACAGGGTTTTTTATGTTTCATGCGCCGGCGCCTTATACATCTGTAATTTAGTTTTATTTATAGATTCATATGTCGTAAGTTTTCGTAACTGATCAGGGTCGTGCATCCCTGGTTCTCTTCTAGGAAACTTTTCTGTGTATCAGTGAGACGTTTTACATATATTTGTGTTTTAAAGCTCACGTACAGGCATACTTTACGTCACGAAGTTGGTGGCAAACTGGACCAATAAAGAAAAGAATAAAAAAATGTCTTATAAGTTGAGAAAATTCGAGAAAGAAGTTGTATTTTTCATTGTGTTTAGATAATAGAATTCAACCCAAGGCTATGTGCAGTTGTGCGAATCCACAAGCTTGGATATTTTACCTTCAAGTTTAGAATCTGTGTTTTATATCCGTGTCTTTTTTTAATGTAATTGATTTTGATGTAACACGCACCACCACACATTTCACAAGAAATTGATCATACACGTTCTTAAGTCTAGCATAAACAACTTTTACATATACATTTCTTTAGCTCCCTTTCTGCTTCCTGAAGACAGGTTCTACAGAAAGGTTCGGCGAATCCTTAGTTTTAGTGAACTTCGACAAAAGGTTTTATACAAATATACACACTTTAAGGAGTTGTATACAATTATTCATACATTTTTGTTTGTATCTTTATTATCTGAACAAAACATATAACAGCTTTTCCAGTTACCTTAAAAAAAGGGATCAAGTTTTCCTTGATTAACTTACCCCTTTTTTTTTACAGGGTTAACCCTTTCATATAACTTGGATCTTTTGTTTTAATATTATATCTATATATATGGTCGACTCCTTTGTTTTGACAAGCAGCATCACTCACTCCTATTACTTTACAGGTGTTAGGAAGATGTGAAGTTTGTACTTCATAAAACAATTGTTTATACATCTAAACATCTTGTACATTAAAATTAACAGATTTTGTCCATCTATCGGTCCTATTAGGCAAACTACAATGATTTGTTTCTATGTTTAAAAATGTTGAATGTTTTTCAAAGAAAACAGTCAGATTTGTTTATTAAATATGTTTATTTAGTAAAACTATTTTGTAAAATAAACGAGCTTTATTTTATCTTGATTTAAATCTGAACAAACTGCATCAGTCCATTTAAAAATGAATAAGCAAACGATAAAAACAATAATATTTTTAAATGGTCATCTATAGCAGATATAACATGCTTTAATATGATATATTATTTCAAAGTTAATTAACTTTAGATTCCACCCGAAGTGGGAGTCGAATCCCAGTTGACAAGAGAAGCCAACAATACAGACCAAGCATCTTAGATCACCACGCCATTCCATCTTTCAATATTTTGTATTTTTCTCTATGACCTTAAGCCATCAATTTAACTTAGTGGTATTTACATTATCAGAAACTATTCAAACAACTAGTAATATAGGTGCTAACAATCCAACTAACCCCAACGGAATTTTGTTTCATACCAATCTCGTTTGTTTACAATACGTTTCAAATCTTCGTCAAGAAGAACAATACGTTTACCCCCGTCTGAGTGTTTATTTCTCTTAATATAAACAAGATGTGACACTTCTGTTTTTCATTTGATGTGTGAGTGTTTAGATACTACAAAAAAATGGAACATTTCGAACACCTGGGGCGATACCTCAAATTTGGCCAAACGTTCGGCCTTATATACAGAGTCAGTTTGAGTGCCCCTAGACTTTACCTTGGAATGTTTTTAGAGACTGGATCCCCATCCAATAATATCGCCTGGAGATTTCTAGAAGGGCTATACCTATGGAGAAATTCTTTATGCAGGATTTCAATAAGATCAGCTAGAGAAGCCATAGTGATGTATGAAGCACAGTGATTCACATTTAGTGACTGCACATGGCTCCGAGATTCACAGCTAGTGACTGTCTAAGGCTCAGAGATTAACACATGTTGGCTGATAAGGCTAAAGGAATCACCTATGGTGGATGTATAAATATAAAATAATAACCCAGATTGGCCGTATAAGGCTCAGAGATTCAACCATATTGGCTGTATAAGGCTCACAGATTCACCTATGGTGGATGTATAAGTCTAAAAACACACCCATATTAACTCTATAAGGGTCACAGATTCACCCATATTGGCTGTATAAGGGTCAGAGATTCACTAATGGTTGCTGTATAAGACTCAGAAATTCAAACATAGTGACTGTATAAGGCTCAATTATTTTTGAGGTTCGAAAGATTCTAAAACTTTAATAGCTGTCATGATTGAATCGGATTATAGTGAAGATATAAGGCTCAGAGATTCACACATAGTGTATAAGGCCCAGAGATTTTTCCATGGTGGGTGTATCAGGCTCAAGGATTCCAACATAACGACTGTATAAGGCATATAGATTTTCCCATGGTGAATGTATATGACTTAAATATTCAAATGTAGTAACTGTATAATGCTCAGAGATTCACCAACGGTGGATGTATAAGGCCAAGTGATTCACACATAGTGATTGCATAAGGCTCAGAGATTCACACATGCTAGTTGTATAAGGCTCAGAGATTCACACATGCTAGTTGTATAAGGCTCAGAGATTCACATATGGTGGACGTATAAGTTTCATAAGTTCAGACATAGTGACTATATAAGGCTAATTAATTCACGAATGACAGGTGAATAAGACTGAGAGATTCAACCATGGTGGCTTTATAAAGCTGAGAGATTTATTTACCCATGATGGATGTATAAGGCTCATAGATTAAGAAAAGATGGATGTATAAGGCTAAGAGATTTACCTATGGTAGCTGTATAAGGTTGAGAGATTTACCTATGGTGGCTGTATAAGGTTGAGAGATTTACACATGGTGGATGTATAAGGCCAAGAGTCTCACCTATTCTGTCTGTATAAGGCTCAGAGATTC